TGTGGGGTGCGGAAGAAGTCCAGCATAGTTATGAAAAGTAAGAGTAAAGCTAAGAGTTTTCTGCTAACTAGAATGGACTGTTTACAAAAGATACTAATTTACTTTTATGCACAAGAACTTCTCCATTTGGGCACATGAGCTCCCTGTGCAGTAGGAATAACAAATGCTATGGCTTGGGGACAGAAACAGCCTCTATCCATTTCATGAATGGTGCCATTCCCTTTATGTATCAATAGATAACTCTTATTTTAGCATGACACCTGCCCATTTTATTTAAAAAGCCGACTGTGCCATCAGCAGAATACCCTGCATCCCAGCATGACAGGGTCTTGTTGAAATATAAAGCCATATGCAGTTTAAAAGCATTAGGCTGCATTTTTTCTCCCACCATTAATATGTGCACACCCACAGTAAATACATTTAACTCAACGTTAAAATAGTTAATTATTAATAAAAATATTTTTTTAAGTATCATAGAATTTACAATTCAGTATTACTGAAAATTTTATGTTTAGCTTCTTCCTGATAATGAACATATATAAAAAAGTAGCTTATAACCTGAAAATGAATATAGCAGGATTTGAGTGTGAGGAAGGTGTCAGGTGGATAGGTAGGCACTAAAATAAATATTCTGTTCTTGTTGTTAGATTACTGAGGTTTAAGTCTCCTTGCAACAGTGTGCTTCACAAGTGACGAGCGATAAAAGCATAGAGATTCTGTATTTCAGTACTTCCAGCTGAGAAACTCATTTGCTCTGTGGCTAGGAATGAATTACACCTCCTGGAGCTACACACCTGCTTTCTGGTGCATGGTAATTCTCAGCTTCCCAATCAACAGAAAGCAGGAGCAAACTGTTAAGGCAATGCTCACACAGTTTTTACCACCTAAATTTCCACACAGGCATGTTTCAAGGGGGCAGCCTTAAGAGAAATGGGAGTGCATTGTTTATGAGGGGATGACAGTGATGAGCAGGGAAGTGATTACTCTAGAAGCCAGATAAGGCAATTTAAATCAGATTTGCTCATTTCTAGGAACTTGGCGTGATATCAAAACACACACCAACTGGGACAAACCAACACGGTTATGTTCAACAGATGTTTTGGAGGCATTTGAAGAGGAGTAAGAAAAAGTGGAAAAGAAAATAAAATGTACAGGTAGGTAATTGCTCATTTCTTTTTCATCCACCGGTCCAGCACAATGCCTCACGAAAGCAATAATCCAGGAGCAGGGAACACAGAAATAAAAGAAAAGGAAGCCAAGAAAGTGAAGTAGTTCTCCCCCCCCAAACTCCATTTCATGGGCTGACAAAACACAGATGGAGATATAATAATTGCAACACTGCATGTATCATGTTCCTCATATACCAATTTTTGTATAAAAATACAAAAAATAAAAGGTATACAATTAACATGGAACAATCTCAGATTATACACAGAAGATACCTGTACTTGTCTAACTGGATTTTGATAGCACATGGGCTGTCCCATAAACAGCAAGTATATAATTTTCATTATTTTAGGCGATTTAAATCAACATTTCCCCCCCCCAAGCATACAGTACCAGCCCATTTCAAACTACCATTCATATCATGAAACAAATCTTCCCTTAACTTTCACATTCCTTTAAGAAATACTTCACTCTTTTTCTTGCTTTCCTTAGTTTTCACTTTGCTGTTCCCTCCCCTTCCCTCTTTGTTTGTCCTTACTTATCTTCAGTTCAAGCATCTTCCCTTTCTCCTCTGTGCATTTCATGACAACTAATCCTGCTGTAGTTGCATAAGCAATACTCTCCTCCCTCTTCTGTCCTCTACATCTCCTTTTCCAGCCTTCCTGTTGGGTTGTAATTTTATTACCAATTTTCTTCCTCTATCCCTTTCTCACTTCTCTGAAATACAAGCTCTAGTTTAAAATAAAATTTTAAGATGACAAGCAAACAGGAAATCGCATAGTAACAGCTTCAGCAGCTATATCATTTTGCCATAGCTAATGTCCCTTTATTCCCTGTCCCTCAACATTTTTCTCCATTGGGTTGTATTTATAATAAATTTCACAGTATCTGCAAAAAGAACCCATGTTCTTGTATTTCTTCTGCAAGACACCCAGTATACATTAGATACTGCAGAGAGGATAAAACAATGCAGATGCTCAAGTGAAAACAGTGTTCCTTAGCTGCTGTCTTTCAAAAAGTCAGGGACAAGAAAGCTGCTTATCATACCAACAAGACTCTCAAAATGGGAGGGAGAAAATAGGAGATTACACAGGGCCTAACCTCAAAATAAGTTGTTATTAAAACTTAACTGAGTTCATGAGAATTTGGCTACATCTTAGTATTTCTGGATGTCTTAAAGATACTTCTAAAAGCAGACTCAATACTGGAAATACTTAACATCTGCTTTTCCAGCAAAGCAATGGCTATTGCAGCTGCTCAGCATCTTTGGGGGGGAAAAAAGAGCTGGCCAGAATGATTTTGGTACTGTGTATAGTCCAACACATTAATTTTAAAGGGGTGGTACAGATTCTTAAAAGGCTTAAGCCAAACTATGATGTTCATTATATCTGAACAGAGTACTATAAAGTGGGTTCTATTATAAGTCAGTACTTAGCATTATCATGATAGACATGATTCATAAATAGCCATATGTAATGGTTAAGGCAATTGGCTAACAGATTATTCACCAAGATCAAAACTAATAAACTCCTTTTCTCCCATATTCCTGTAATTTTGAAGAAAGACAGGAAAATAAGCCAACTTCCATAGAAGCTGACATTAAACCAAGTTATTTTGATCTGCAAATCTGTACTGAGTGGCATACCCAGCTGGCAGCATTTCTGTTTGTACAGGTAATGAAAAATGTAGGAACTATTAATGACAGTGATATTAGTGACAGTGTAAAAAAGAAACTATCAGCACAGAAAATCTTCTCTTTTTTTTTCTCTGTTGTCATGATAGAACAGCTAATCCAATACAAATTGTTAACTGTATTACTCCCTTCTTCTCAAAAATCTGGAAGTCTGATAGCTGTTTGAGACACAACTGAAAATTCTTGTCAGCCACATGTCCAGCAAATAAATAACCACAGATAATATTTATTCCATTACAGAGACATAGCCATACCATCTTCTATTTCAGCCAAATCCTTAGCAAAGCTATAATAAAAATTCAAACTGTGTAGCAGCTAAAGACACTCACTGTAGAAAGCAAGGCATAGCTTGCTTTTTTTCATCTACATTGCAGAAAATCTAGTTCATTCTCCCCATGCTGCCAAAAGACACCTTCATTTTGGTCAATTCATTTCTAGTAAGAACAAAGATAAATAATGTATCAGAAAAATATGGATATCTCTCTGATAAAACCTAAGTGCAAATTTACATGCGAGTTTAAAGACATTTTAAAAATGTAACTCTCTGCAGTGTGGCAGTGAAAAGAAAAAAGAAAAGAAAGAAAGAAAAAGAAAGAAAACTTGTTAACTGCTAGTCCTGATTTCTGACAACTAGATGAAGGGAAGTCAAAAGAGCTTTCAACAGAAACCTAACGACACAGAAAAAGAAGCAGCACTAGCCATCACTTGTTGAATTTTGAGTTCTGGCTCTGTTTAAGTCCGTAAGTCCATAGTCTAAGTCCTGCTACCTTGTCAAAAACAAACAAAACCCCAAACAAAAAAAAAAAGGAAGATAAGAAATAAAAGACCTGTCTTTCCTCAAGGTCAAAATGCACTAACATAGACTCAAGATTTCATTTCTCTTCTCCACAGTCTGTCAGAACTCTGTGACTGCCAGACCTACTACTCTATTCTTTTTGCTCCTATTCAGGTTAGGAACGTTTTTTGGAGAGGGATTTCCTGCCCATGTACAAAGCTAAAATAAATTCTAGAGACTGGAATAATCTTAAACGTGATTATCTGTACTTATTAATGCTCATACAACTGATAGTCATACCTCATTTCTAGTGAAGCCTTAGGGAGTAACCACTTCCAAACAGTTAAAAAACAGTTGATCAAGGGGGCAGGGGAGATGGGGGACGGGACGACACACACAACACGATGACCAAACCACGAACCCAAAAAAGCCCTCTGCAGAGTTTGTCAAACAGAAAAAAAACCCAAACAATGTGCATTGTATCGATAAAATAAACATTCCAAATATTTTGCAGTAAACAAATAAATATCTCAACAAATTTACAACACAATACTTTCTCCTGACCATAGTGAACACCTGAAGCAAGCCTTTCAACGCCACCTTTAAAGGCAAGAACTTCAAATCACTTCAGCAAGCCAGAAGCAGCGGCAGTGATTAAGTTGCAAAAAAGGCATATTCACCCCTCCGTAAGCAATAAGGACCAAGAATAAAATGCAGAACAATTCTGACATTTTTACAAGACCATACAAGAAATCATTGTTGTTTTCAGAACAGTTAATCCGTTAAGGAAGAAATCAAGTGAGCAGAAGTTCTTTCTTTACTGTGCATTATCAAGCTACAAACTATTTTAAATTCCACTACTGTTATTGACATTGAGGAAGTATGCAAACTATTAGAACTTTAGTCTATGAAAGAACCGAAACCATAATCTTCTGAATATCTTAAGTACTGTGCAAGAGATATTGACCGAGTTGACATTTTCACCCACATTATTTCACAGCATTAGTCATAATCACAGTTAGAATAAACATAAAAAGAACACTGCAACATACCTGTGTGACCATGCTTTGTATATACGTGGTTGGATGCTGCTGCTTTTGTTGAACAGCACTTTCTATTGCTACTTTCGCTACAGTGCTTGGATCCGCTCCAGCTGGCACAGCAACCATAGTTGCACTGCAACCAGCATTGTTGGGGTCACTGATTGTAACAATTCTAACTCCTACTTTATTTGGAATTCCTGGAACAGTTTCCCTGTCATTATCCTCTGCTGGCCTCTTTACAGTTTTGCATTCTGCTGTGCCATTAGTAGACCGAACTTCGGATGACAGGGTAGACTGGGACACTCTAGGTCCTGAGTGTGGAACTGCTATGATTTGATGCCCCTGTATAACAGAGGCTGTAGATTGTGGTGAGACAACTACACTTGGGCGTTGCTGAGGCACATCTGAATTCAAACTTGAAGCTAGAGGTCCATTAGGTAAATCAGTGTTGGTACCACTAAGTTGCTGGGTTAACAGTTTTGCAGCCTCCTGTGTACCGCTTACAACAGGTGAACTACTCAAAGTTAATACAGGCCCATTAGAAATTCTCTCCCCTTGATCACCTTTGGCAGTATCTTGCTGCGTGGCATCCAAATTCCCTTGTTGTTCCACTGAAGATATCTCACCATTTCCTACATGATTGGAAGTTTTGTGATTTGGAATGTTTTTGCTCAAATGAGAACCATCTCCTTTATCAAAATCACAGATTCCATTAACTAGGGGCTTCTTCAAATCACTTTTAATTTCCTGTGTGTCCATTTGTTCAAAGTTCTGCTTTCCAGGAGCTCCGTTCTCACCCATTTCTAATGATGGCCCATTACTGACTTGTGAGCACTGATTGGCCTCATTCTGAGTTTTCCCTGAGTTAGAAGGAGGTAGACTGGAGTCACTATACTTTCTCCCATTTAAAAGACTTCCCACCTGCATTTCATTTTCTTTTGCATCCCCATTGCTGGTGTTTGCAGCTCCTCTTCGGCAGGAAGGATTCTCCATAACTTCAATTTTACGTTCATGAATGTGTAAACCTGTTGCTTCCTTTGCTTCTTCCTCCTTTTGGCAAATTATTTTATCACCTTTGAATGGGGGAGCAGCAGTACACGGTGATTGTCCAGCTGAAGGTGCTTGAGTAGCTGGAAGTGTTTGCACCTGTAGCCCAACTCCTGTCTGTGCTCCAATCACTGCACTTCATGCTGGAGCAATGATTTGAGTTGCATTTCCCTGACTCACAGTTGCAGTAGCAAAACTCGTATTTGGCACAACTGTTATCGTAACCTGGTTGCCAGTAGTCCCTTGGAAAATAGTTGCTGGGCTGTTTGAGATCAACTGGCCTGGCAATATCTGTAAATTAGAAATGGGTACTGTTTGTACTGCCCCTTGGGGCTGGATTGCACCCGGGACGAGCTGAACATTTTGCTGCCCAACTAGCAGCTGCTGAGCTGGAGACTGTCCTTGAACTCCAAAACCTGGTGCCTGGTTATTGGCCATCTGATAAACCACCTGAGGGCTAGGAGCTCTTGCATTGTTAGGTGGAGGAATCTGTGGAGCTGGGAGTATAAGCTTCCCCCCTGGAGTTGAGGGGCCTCTTTTCGGAAGAAGCAGTTGTTTTATCAGACTAGACTCACCAGAGTTAGGCTGGCCAACTCCTGTGTTAGCTTGTTGTGACTGAACTTGCATTTGTATCGGTTGTTGTACCTGTACCTGCTGCTGCGATGATGCTGGTGAATGTTGCTGCTGCTGCTGCCTCTTTACAGAAAGCATCTGGCTGACAGTAGGAGGGGGTCCTTGTGACTGAGGAGTGGTAGATGAAGATGACATAACTGTAGGGACTTGATTATTTGTAACCGGACCTGGGGATGGTGAAGAAGATGGAGTAATGCTTGGCTGTCCAGTCAACTGGACAGTCTGACCAGTGGGAAGAGAAGCTGGATTAGCAAGCACTATTTGATGAATGGCTGGTGCATACGTTTGACCTTGCTGAGCTGGCTGGCTTACAATCACTACACTTTGCTGGGATGGTGCTGGAGGCTGCTGCTGTGGCTGCATCGGCTGCTGTACCACGGCAGGTGGAACTTGCTGAGACGGCAGAGGCTTTGGTGCAATATTCTGAAACCCGACCCTAGATGTTGGTGGGTTTTGGACGCCTGCGATTGTAACCACCTGCCCAGCTGCTACTTGGAAATTTTGAACTGTGGTGGCAGAAACAATGTTAGATGCAGAGGTTGTGACGTACTGCTGTGGTGCTATGATGACTGTATCTTGTTGCTGGTTGCCAGCAGAGGACTGCTGAGATGGTGTCTGCCCAGGTTGTGATGATGTGCTGATTAGCTGTTGACCCTGTGAAACTGCTGAACTGCATGCTGGTATGTTTTGTACTCTGCCAAATATATGACCCTGAGGTACAGCTTGCTGAATTACCGTAACAGGAGTGCCTGAAGGTAGCTGTCCTGGTACCACTGCGTGCAGTGGAGACTGTTGTTGAATTACAGGTTGGTGGTGAAGCAACGTCTGAGAACTAACGACAGTAACAGACGGCTGTGGTCCTGTAGTGCTGTGATTTTGATTAGAAGCTTGTGGTGCTCCTCCTACAGCAATAGTAACCGGAACTGCAGACTGGGGAACAGAGCTCTGTATTACTGTGGCCTTCACTACTTCACAGGGTATTGGACCTTTACTCTGTATAACAGTCACTGGAGCATTTTGTTGCTGCTGTGTATGAACAGAAGGATTTTGTGGAATTCTAGAAACAGTCTGTGCCACAGTATGAACACCTTGAATTGGAAAAGACATCTGTGTTGCTGTCAAAGTTGAAGACTGGTTAATAGGGGTCCTCTGATAGTGATTTCCTACGCTTGGTAGCCCATGCGGGATTCCTGTTGAAATAAACACAGTAGAAGTTTGGAAGCAAAAATTATTTCAAAACACATTAACATAACAATTTTTTAAAAATCCAAGGCTTGAATTTGTAACTCTGTATGAAGCAGTTTCTCTTCTCAGCTATACTGCATCTGGATTAACAATGCAGCAACAAAGGCCTGTCTGCTGACTGACAAGTTTATGGGTTACGCATCAAATACTACAATGGCATGCAAGTACATACTGCAATACTATTCCTAACATTATTGAATAAAATCAATCAAAACATGTGGCTCCGACTTCCAACACTTTCAAACTATTTTCAAAAACTTTTGTCTTTTATTGTGATTTCAGAATCAATGCAAAACACTTGATATTTAATTGATTTAAAAACCTGCTGGCGAAGGAGACGAAGACACATCAGGAATTGAATCAACCCGGACAACTGGGGTAGACGAAGTTGGTTGCTGCTGATAGTACATCTGAATGGGAAGTGGTATAGCTCTCCTTTTCACTCCTACCACATGTATATGTGCTTGACCATTGTTACTTGGATCTTCTACTCTCTTCACTGTATGATTTGGAAAGACAGTTCTGCCAAACACAGCATAAATCTATGTTAATAAACACAGTAACTCAATCCTCTTACAATGTTTTTGTTTCAAGCAACTGCTTTTGTGCGCAGAGGGCCTGCATGAATGCCTGCATCTTTGCAATACAGCAGGATTCTCCAGTGGCATCTGAGTATTCATCATTGAGGACTAACAGCTCCACCAGACAGATGGCCAAGATCTCATACAAGCTACATGAAAACTACAATACCTCCAAAAACTACTTTGGAAAGAATTAAAAGGTCTCTAAGCAGAGAATGAACCCTATCAAAGATCCTGAGATAGAATGAAATAAAATTAAACACACTCTAAACATTTGTTTCAACTAAAATTCCAAAATTGGATGCATTTCAAACTCAACTTGGTACATCTTTTCTCAAAGAAATCTAAAGCTACACGTTAGTACTGAGCACATACAATTGCTTTATTATTATTCCATGAATTTTTGTCTTACCGCAGACATTTATAAAATCCAGTTGATGTCAGGATTCCACCTCGAGCTAATTTACTACAGGTAGAGAGGTATTCAGAGTACATTTCTGCTCGAGAGACTGAGCAATCAAGATTCACCTCAAAATGTGCATTCAACCTGAGGATGAAAAAATAAATTATGAAGCAAAGTATAGAGAGAGTACTTTTAAAAGGGTTGTTAAAACACTTCTGTCTGTATCACAGAGACTTTGAAGACCTGATAACAACATGGAAAATAGCATTTTAGTATATTGTCTTGCCAAATGCCCGTTCCATACTTCTCACTGCTTATGATTTAACACATGGGACCCCTAACACATGCAGTTAGTTTTACATGCCATATGCAAAATAGTCTCTGCATATGCCTTTACATTCTTTTTTCATTTTGTTTCTGAATAAAATTGTTTGGTGACACCTCCTCCCCACAGGTCTATTCTTACTTCTTAATGATTCTACTTTAGCAAGAGATGGACTGTATGCCAGCTAATTCTTCATCAGAAATTTATATCAAAAGTCATTTGTATCAAAACCAAGATTTTGTTAACCAATCTGCTAATGCAGTCTTACTTTAAAATACAAGTAAAACCAGAGACAGAATAACAATCTCAACCCTGTCATTCTGATAGAGGTGGGAAGGCAGGAGAGAGGGGACTGGGATTCTAAGAGAGTACACACACAAACACATACACTCTCATTCCTGGAATCCCACACTACATAGATACCAATAAAATCCCTGAACAACCTGTTCTGCCTAACGTTCAATATCCAGGAAGAGAAAGTATTTGTATCTCCTACAGACTCTCCACAAGCACACAGACCACCCAACCCCCAACCAGGAAGCTGAGAGAGAAGGGAACATTTTCTATCAGTTCAATTTTGTTTTGTTCAGATCCATTATTCCAACCCAGAGACATGGGAATGGTTCATCCCCAGCAGCAAATGAAAGTAAATAACACCTTTCACACAATGCTGAACTACCAGTACCAGAACATTGCCTCAGACATAATAAAAATGTTTTGGTTTTTTTTTTTAAATTGTCAGCATTTACTGTATGGTGCTAACACTTTGGAAAACTACACTGCATTCCCCTTTGTAGAGTCTTACACTCCCAATATAACTAGATGCTTCAAAAGAAAAAAAGCAAATTATTACATTCTTTAAATTGTGTTCTCTCATAACCAGTAAAGAGTGGTAGTAAGTATAATGCCATTTCTCCTGCTGTTGAGCTACAATTTTATTATTACAAAAATTGAGATCACACTGTATAACAGAAAGTCTAAGTATTAATTAAATTTGGCATATCAGACAAATAACTGTCCAGCTGGGTATGTCATATTAGGCTGACACACCATCACTGGTACCAGTGAACTGAAGATATTCAGGAGTTATAATGGTGAAAAGGGATGTGTGATTAGCACTTCACTCTCACATGCACTGACCTTACAAGGACTCCTACTCGGGCTAAGCTGGCTAATAATATATGCAGGAAGATCAGTTTAAATACCTTGTCCTTCTGCTGCTTCCAAGAGATAGTAACTTTTCTAAATTCTACTGTTATGATTTATTCATTTTCCCATTTCTCTCAATAGGAAACAATGACTAAAACATACCATGAAAATTTACATGAATGTAAGACACTCCATGTTAGCATTGATGAAAATGCTTGGAAGAGGCTACTCCTCTGCTCTCAACTTGCATAATCTTTTTTTTTTTTTTTTTTTTTTTTGGCAGCATAGTTAATGTTGAAGGAGAATTTTCAGGACTAGATGTTAATTTTTATTTTTCACTAGCTAGACCTACCTAAGACTAACCAGAAGAAAATCAAGTACAAAATAATAATATTCAACACTGACAACACACACAGAATCAGAAACAAAGCACACATTCCAAATCTTCCTGATAAAATGCTCTACGGTTTGCTTCATTATTTTCTGTCATTTGATGTATTGCACAGTTGCAGCATGGTACCTACCCATACTTATTTTAACAGTCAAAACTTCTATTTTACGTTTTATACAGACCGCAAAATTCACCTTGCCTACAACTTTACTACTGAAAGCTAGATGTCTGGTGCTCTCTATAGTCAATGGAAAGAAGGTGGCACCAGAAGGTAATACATAATCTCATCAGAAACTAGGCAGGTGAAGGCAATTCATTTTACCATTGGGGGAATCTCCCACTCCATTAATTAAGAAGGCAGCCCAGAAAACTAGCTTTGGCTAGACACCAACTTGCAGACTGCTAAATTGAGCTGCGGTGACTCCAACTCCAGGTATCCCTGTTTAAATGTCTGAATGTGAAATTTCTCAGTCTTTCAGCAGTGCACATTAATAATACTTTGCAGTGTGCAAACAGAAGCATGGGAACATCATCAGCTGATCAACAAGAATCTGCAACATCTCCCCCATACGATCAAAGTTTTGCTGGAAGTATAAGTAAAACTAAATGATGAGCTAAAGCACTAAGCTTTGATAAATTCTACCTGCTTTACCTTGAAGGCCCTTGTCTGATCAGTAAGACAACTGATGAACATATGAGTTGCGGGGCAGCAGAGGTGGAAAAGTCCCATCAGGAACCAACTAATACAAATATTTAGAATGTGAGTAGATTCACTTAAGTCATATAATTCAGAAAGATCACCTTCAGTCCACATGAGAACCACAGGTGGAATAGTTTTTCTCTAGATATCCAAAACCAACAATATTACTTGAAAGCAAGAGAATTTCCATGGCAAAGCCTTTGATCTTCCTTAACTTGCCTGAGGTTCACAATGATCATATTAAAGAGTTTTTCAGGGCCTGGCTTCATAATTTTATAATTACTTTTGCATTGGTGCAACACATTACCAGCTGAAAACACTCATGAAACAGATAATGCTGCTTGACAATTTAAAAAATAAATAAAATCAAGATCAGAGTTAAAAATCAAATTAAATTCTATTCTAAGAGAGAAAACAACTATTTTCAAGTACCAGCTGTTGAGAGTGAATATTCTGGTAGAGCTTTTTCTTTCATACTTCTTCAGAGGAATGACAGAATGGTTTTGCTTTATACTTTTCAGAAAAATGAGTCTAACAGTAAATAGAAACAACCTAGAAAATTCTGTGACACAGGAATACAGGCATTTTTCTTTGTTTTTCTTCTTCATTAAAGTATTTGAATAGAACTATACACTTACCACTGACATGCAAATTTCTCGCTGTCTATTTCTACTATTCCCGGTGGTGGAGCAACATGTGGTACTGTCCTAGAGGCTGTGGAGAATGAGGGGAAGGAAAAAAGAAAAACAACTTGCTGAAACAATTTTTGTTCTCCTGAATGAAGCACTTCAACTCCATGACTTTCACTGTTCTTCCCTGTGTTTGTAAGCAAGGATGTATCCAGCTAAGGCAAGTCACAAAGGTGTACTAAACAGACTACAGATCTGCACCACAATTTACCAAAGTGAAGCAGGGCATGCCAAGGCCAGAGCCACCACTCAAGTGCAATGACGATGTAAACACTTAGTGAACGACAGCTTCCAGATTCACAACCACGATTCATGATCTCAGTACTTCAGAGTACCAAACGTGATTTAAGAGTGGCACAATACTCCACCAAAACAGGCACAAATACACAGCAATTATTTTTCCAATTCCTAAGTGGAAGCAAATACAATGTAAAGAATTTTGTTGCTATGTCACATTAGTTCCTTCTATTCACTCTTGTTCATCCCCTTAGTCACACTCTTTTCCAGTCACTTTCACTGTGGTATCGGCACCCATTCTGGAAACAGTACACTTAGACACACAAGCCAGTGTCTGTTGTAATGGTTCTTTCTCCATTTTTTTGCCAGAATAGATAGCTATGTTCCATCTTGTGTGCATTTTTATTAGTAAAGACAGAACGAGGTACATATGCTATTCCCCCTGACCAGTAATAGTTAGCTGTGCCATCAACTTCCAAAGTGCCAGTATTTAATCCCAAAATAAAGCTGCAAAAATTAATCATACTTACAGTTTAATTTACAATTAACAAAACACTTTTCAAGCTTTAAACAATAGTTGGAGTTTGGTTCACATCACAATAAGCTGTTTAGCAGCTTCAACAGAGGCATGATTCTGCGTGTCTATCTCATCTCTGCAATTTTATCAAATACTGTATCTTACTGCCCAATAATACTCCATGTAAAACACAGTATAAAATGGACCTCTAATTCTCTGCAAATTGTGGGAACAATCTAGAATGGATACTTGTTCTTTCCACTGAAGAAGTTAAAATAAAGAGCGAACATAACTTTCAGTAAATTTTCAAATTAGCAACTGAAAAATACTGAGATTCTTTAAAGCTTGTTTCACAACAGTTTTGTCTAACACAGCTTTATATTTGCTTTGTGAACAAATGTCTGACAAAGATACCGTATGTTATGCATAATGCTATACTTATCTATATATATATATTTATGTAAATTTATCAGAAACCTACAGCAGATGAAAATCATACATGCCATATAGGAAATTTTGTAGAAGATTATGTTCTCTTGCAGTGGTACTAACCTGGGACACCTGTTGCATGGGCCTGTGAAGAACCATGATCCATTACTTGTGGTCTGACATCAGGTACTCCTTGCTGGCTAACGCACTGATGTTCAATGAGTTTTACAGCAGTAAGTGCATCAGGTCCGAACATCTGGATGTCCATAGAAACCAGACATACTAATGTATCTAAAGTATTAAATGTAAAACCGACAATGACATTAGGACAAGACAAATGAACGCTGCTGGGAAATACTGATTTGCTTTAAAATTGCCATGAGTTGAAAGAAAACAAGCCTCTGCATGCTTCTGTAGATTCCCCCTGCCCAATTCCTTCATGGCATTGAAAAAAAACCCCCAAAACCCAAACAAAACAAAACAAAACACACACCCCCCAAACCTACTTCAAAAATTTTAGCTTCCCTAGTTATTAGCATCATCAATTTCTTGAGGACACAGAGAGTAAATTTTAGTAAAACTTCCTATTCTAATATCCATCCCTAAGCTGCACACACACATAATCAAGCCACATTTTCAACCACTGAACATGACATATTCTTAAGTCTTTTTCTACATAAGTGAGAGTAATAGGTTTTGCTTCTCCCTTACCTATGCTCTTCTCTACTTTAGCAATCTTTGAGCAGGCCACTTCTCCCATTTCTGTGAGCATGTATAGCACCTCAAGTGCCGAGATTACAAGCAGCACATCTGGTAGTGTGAGATGACATATGATCTCTTTATAGGATTCTTGATCCACATATTCACAAATTAAGACACCATTATCTTCAGCCTTACAAAGATTTGCCAAGATTTCCATGCCTGAAGAATAAATACAAAATAGTTTTAAACAGCAATAATTACAATTCTAATACAACAAGAGAATAGCTAGAGATCTTACCTCTCATTTTTAAAAACCTATCCCTTGACATGAGGCATTTTGTAACAGTGTGAAACATTAGATGAGTAGTTTTGAAATCAACAGGATCCAAAAGAAGCTGATGAGAAAGAAGAAAGATAAATATGACTAACACAATCCACATAGGGCTAATGGCTCAAATCCTTAAATCTGCATATCAAAATATAAGATTCAAAAGTGTTTAAATGACATTTGTGTTCACAAAAACAGAACCCTGTGAGCATTAGCTATCATTCTGAGCCCCCTCCTCCTCTTCTGCTCTGAAGCAGCAGTCTATTTACACTTTCCAGTGCTCAACATAAGAAAAATATCTTTACACTGTTGACTGCTTGGGAATAAACAAATATATTTTAATATCCAGCAAAGAACAGAACTTGAGAAATGACAAACATTCCTTCCCAAATGTTATCACAATTGTTCATCCTGTTTCTATCTACTTCTGCTTCTCAATCAGAGCTCTCAGACATTATAATATGTAACATTCTCTCTTATTCAAGAGAAGCTGGATATGTGGTAGGTGAAAACACCACCTTTTTTTCAATATTCAGCAGTGGACCAATACTTCAAGTCTCATTCTCTGATACCTACCCATTTAACTTATCTATTATATTTTAAAATATAAGGAATATCTGAACATAGCTACCTGTAAAATCTGTATAATTTATCTGCACAATGATATGACATACTGAAATAGTGTATTTTATTACATTCAAACCTCTTTGAAAAGAAAAGGATGCCTCACATGATTCAGGCAGTATACTCAGTGGCACATGACTAGCTCGCTGGTGCCCACTACACATGGCATAAAACCCTCTACCGCTCCCCTCTCAAACATACTATTTTGAAATTAGGACTAAAGGTTGTAATTATAAAGTGAAGAAGCTAGTGTACAGTGTGCAGAATTTAACTAAATTCCTTTCTTCTCTCTAGGAAACTAAACTGAAAATTATACGCTATGAGTATCTTGTATCTACCTATACAATCAGTCTTCTCCATGTGATTCTATTTAAGCAAACAGACACATAGTCTGTATTTTTGTTTTGGCCCCGAATACTTGTTTTCGAATTGCTGTTTACAAATTCAGAGAATAATTTATTTCCTGCTTCATCCAATGATCAAGGAAAAAAGTAATTAATTAACACTAAAGTAATGCTTTTATCAAATTATATTTTAATTGTTCTGTTTTGAAGCACATTACCTCTGCTGCAATATTTCCCAGCGTGTCAAGCCCCAACTGCCGTAGAGAAATAAAATGACTATGAGCAGAGAGTAGCAGGAACCGAAGACAGGTACGATTAGCTGCCAAAAGTTTAACATTTCCCTCTTCAAAAGAAAGATTACGTAAAATCACTGCGATCTGAAGTACCCGCTGCCCTTCAATATCATTAATGCCCAATTTGCGAGGTGGATGAAATAAGGATTCCCAAATCAATTCTTCCGATGGAATATCTACAAAATAAATAAATACATTTCAGTCCTTCCTTTGCTATATTTACCAACATGTATGTATTAAGATTAGTCATGATGCCTCACCTTGAGATTTGCTTCTGTCAGAAATTAGATCACGAACTTCAATATCCTCAACAATATCCTTCCAAAACTGAAGAAAGAATTAAAAATACACTTAATTTCTAGGGGATGATATTTCTTTAAATATTAATTATTTTTATTTCTATTACTTTAAAGTATTGAAAAAATATGAAAAGGATTGTTCTTTAAAAATTTCCTAGTACCATGATTCATCTAATAGTAACAATATTTTGCACTCATGGGATGATATGCAAGGTGTTCAGTACTTTACATTGAGAAACTCTTCTTCTCAAGCACCAGAAGTACACATTCATGATCAATCAACACTACCACAGAAGTACTTTGCTGAAGCACATACTGAAACTACATGGACAGTTTTCCACAAAAAATTAGAAATACAGCAATTATAAGTGCAAAAAAAGTACAGTTCATCCTCCTTCACCTCCTACAAACAGTGAACTCCTAAAGCAGAAGACGGTGACTCCTCTCAGTTTCAGTAGATTTTGCTCCTGCTAGAAGTGCAAGAGTCAGATTTCTATCTGGAGAGGCTTTTTAAAGCTTCTGCTATGTTTTCCACATCATCGTAAATCAATGAAAAGAGAAGCAACAACCACCATCACCAAAAACCTTTATAAATATAAGCAAACCAGAATGCTTCAGCAGACTGGAATTCAAATTACTTTACAAATATATGGTCTGATCTGTAAATGGTTGTTATGTTGCTAGTCCTGTTGAAATTCAGGAATTAATCAGGGGACTAAGTTTTGCAAGCTAATAAAAATACACATTGTGATGTACATTAATATAAAAATATATAATGATACATACACTCTAATGTGTATATTATAATAAAAAATATGAACATTCCTCTGACTAATAAAAATTTATTCATTCCTTTGACTCACTAATGAAATACAGCTCCTCTTTTGGCTATGATCACAGAATAAAACCACAAATAAATCTGGATAAAAAGGGAAGGATGGGAAGTACAACCAGCTGAACAGCAGGAGAAATTTTGCTATGCAAATGTAATTACAAAATTACAGCATTCATACCAAGCCTGACACTATTATTTTCTTGAAAAATAGAATACTACAGATTTTCTAAATTGGAAGGAAAAGAATTTTATTTTCCACTGCAATGCTGCTAAATGACATCCAAGTGCTGTTTAGTAAAGAGGATTACTTGCACAGAAAGGATTATTACCTCGGTTTAGCAAAGACACGAACAGCCAGATAAAAGTCTAACTTCTTACTGGTTGTGACAAACAGATTTTTCTAATTAATACTGAGGCTATCATCAAGAGCCACAGAATACCAAGGCATGCAGGTAAAATCTGCAGAATGTACTTCATTCTGAGCTGCCTTTACTTTTAGAGAAGGAGACTATTTAAGGAAGAGGCTTCAGTCATTATTTTAAAAAGCACACAAAAGTATATTGTCTGGAAATTTACTAGTCAGTACACACTTTCCTTTAGGATGTTTGCTTTTGGAAAAGCAGTGAAGACAGTAAGCCTTCACATTTCACTGCTACTTAAAATCCTCAGAAGCTTTTAAAGATTGGTTGTTTAATCAGTTAAGGATTTTTTTTAAAAAGTGAATATTGAACAAAGTCTTCAACTTCAACCTGAATCTCTTTGGAAGAGGCCAAAGTCAATCACAACACAATGTTAAAACTGCTGTCACATCTTAAATGTTAAAACAACATTATCACATTTTGCTAGCTGAATCCTCCAGTAATCCACTTTTTGCCTATTAATACTTCAGCGTGTAGTCCAAAATGAAACATTTAAAAAACTCCGGCAATACAAAGTCATGAAGGAGCAAAATTTTCTATCTGGAAGGTAAATCACCCTGCGCATGTTCTCAAAGGGATGGAAAACAAGCATTTAAATTTTTTGCAGATGAAGACACTACAGACACTGCTGAAGGTAAAGCCTCAAAGTCCTATGGCTAAGATGAGGACAGGAATACATTGTTGGAGAACTGTACATTTCACCTAAAACTTGAGGAATAAACAGATTCATGCTAGTTGCTTGAACAACGGAGAAAGTCTCCCGTTCCTAAAGAAGCAGTCTGTCAAAGAATGCTAGTTATCACCTCAGATGAGATTATCTTTTTCAGAAAAGAACAGAATATGCCTCCTTTCTGTAAGTTAAAATGACAGAGACACCAAGGCACCAAATAAAGTTTACTTACACAACTGTTATTCTTCAAATTGTTTCATTATATAGTCATGCTGTGAGCATAAGATGCTAACCCCTCAAGCTAGAGAATTTTTGCCTCAGGATTACCTAGAGCATATGCACAAGCCCTGTTTCCTACGTGAAGCACGCCAGAATAATGTGAGTCCCCCACAGCCTCAGTTCCTCTGAGCCCTAGAGATCTGGTTAGGCTCTTAAAGCTCTAAGGAAGAGAATCTGGAGGATAGGATGTGAATATGCAGACAATACAACTTCAAAAAGAACAATTAAAAAAAAAAAAAAAAAAGAGACATTTTTTCTCTCTTGGGCATTTATTTCTACATACAGAAGCAGTGTGGGTGATAATGCTCACCAAGAACACTGCTTTACCTGCGGAAGCATCCCAGAGCCTTTTGCTTGCTAAAAACTGTAGGTTTGCATTCCCAAAGCCAGCATCTGTCATGGGTGTTTCAGCAACCGTGAAAAGCCTACTGCAGTAGCAAACCAGGCTTCCTGTGAGCACTTTCAGGATTTTAAGATTTCAAACATTCTGCAAAAGCTCAGCGATATCACCAAAGAACTCAGAAATATTATCCAAAAGATAATATCACCAAAAATCTCAGAATTTTATCCTACATCCTCCATTCAACAAGCCAGTAACTTAAACAGCTTATCAGTAAGTAATGTGTTCAATAATCCAAGCAGCTAAGACACAAACTATTACATGTGGCATTTAATGTACCTATTTTAGAGATGGGCTGCTAACTATAAAGGGGTCAGGATTTCCCAGGACTTCAGCTGTTGACAAGCATGTTGCAACAATGAATGTACAGATGGAATCCTTATATGCATTTATTACTATACTGAGCTCCAAAACACCTGAAAGCTTTACCATAGATAGCTGAGGTCAGTTCCTAGCCAAGGAAAGAGGCGTATCTCTCTAATTATTTAGAAGGTAGAGCAACTTTCCATTTGATTCCAACCAGCTATCTTCTAGCAGGCACCATTACATAGGAGAGTCGACCCCCTCCCTCAGAAAAGTTACTATTGTGTTGTATGCACTGCATGTACAGTCATGTAAGGAATTAAAAGTGCAGTCAAGCTGGCCTATGACAATCAAAGCCTCAATCAAATTGTCAGGTATAAAACCAAGTTGTCCAAACATTTTAAAAAAAAATGCAGGTTTTCTGAGAGATGCTATGACAAACAGATTTCACCTGACACCCATATAAACAATAATGCAGAGTCAATGGTGAATACGAATTCTGCATCTTTCACTCAGAGGACTCCAAGAAAACTAGAGCAGATTCCAGGATGCTTAAGACCTCTTCAGAAAGAAAGAGCAAAAGGAAAAAAAGAGTCCTTGATAAAACTTTCAGGAAGGTAAACTGTACTTTCCATTCCTTAACTGGAATGATGAAGGTTGTTAATTACAACCCACCTCACAACATAGTAGGGAAAGAACACCAATAAAAAAAAGGATAGCACGTTGTTCTGACAGTTATCCTCTGTGATTCTGGTGAAATACACATTTCCATGTCTCAGACAAATCTTCACACTGGAATCACGTGTCCTGACAGTAAATGGTCAAAAACCCTGCCCAGTGCTTCCAAAGCACTAGGGTTACCTACAATAATCACCATCTTGTACTCCTGAATAATGGTGTTCAGATGTCTTAAGTTCAGAGTGAGTCTGCAGCTTCTATTTCTTTTCTTAGCAAGGAAAGAGCGGGCCTGAATCACCTTCTTTTTACATTTAAGCACACTGGTTTGATTGCTCTCAGTCCACTCAACAATTGTTTCCTGCCTAAGCAGAAGACACCCCTGAAAAGCATGTGGGTGGGCAGAGAATGATGAGGTGGAAAATAAAATTAAATAACCTACATACAATGTTCAGAACCTTTCTGTTAGAATAGAACAAGGAGAAACATGACAAGATTTTTGTTTGCCCTAAGGAAAGGCAAAAGTGGAAAAAGATGACTTAAGTCAAGCTTTCTGGGCATCCCTTTGAAAAATGTACTTGTATCACAGAGGCAAGAAAAAAAAATCAGTTTAGCATCACAAGCTTTTATTTATTCCCTACTATAAACTATGGACAGCTGCAATCTGATACTTCTATCAACAGAAATCAACAATAAAGGATGAAAAAGTGAAGCTCTTTATTAATAGTTATTCCTCTATATATATTATAGATCATGGTAACACACTGGTAATAGGAATATAAAGATAAAACTTGGAAACAAGCAAACGGTGTTTGACTACATGACACCCAGATACTAAGAGATAGTGGACAAAGGTAAATAACTTCATTCACATGTACAACCTCATTACTGTCAGTAGCCAAGTTCCTTTGGAAAAAGATGCACAGGATTATACAGAATTCACTGGAAATCAGATTAACCAAATTACTGTCCATAAAAACAATGGACATTTGAGTCCACAAATCATATAATATAGCAATGATCATGACTATTGTCCAAGAAAAATATGAGAGCAACTGGAGTCAAGTCAGCTTGACACAGATCCCTCTCAGAGACAAGAAAGGTGACATTTGAAAAGTATTTCAAGCATTTAAATGCATAAGGATCTCTCTATATACACTATCTGAGAAAGAATCAAAGAATGAATGTACAGTAGAGAAAACTATTATTAAACTTATATAAAGAAGAATGAGACAACAAAGTAAGAACTTCACAAAAAAACCCAAAAGGAAACCAGAGAAGTAAAGCATTATGCAAAGCAATAAAGAAAGCACAAAAACTGCATAAGCATGTATTTTGGAACTCTACAGGTGAAAGAGGCCTCAAGAAGTCCAAGAACATGAAATCCAAACGCTTAAATTGAAGTAAATGGAAATCAATGGTGCATGAAGAAATTCAATGCAATTATTCATATACTACATCAGATAGTGGGCAGCTGCTGGATACACAAAAGAAATACCTGGAAAAACAGCTAAATCTATCTGATTATAAGCATGCTACATAAACAAGTCACTCTTGAAAGACAAACTATACACACAAGTGAACCTTGCGAACATGAGGAAGTTAAAAGAGAAATGAAACAGTTAAAAATGAGAAAGCTTTTGCAGTAGATGAGAAAACATCCGAGCAGGATATCATCAGAGCTTGGGGATGGGGATGACAAAACAAAACATGAGATCCAAGATCACTGGCTAAATGCTAGTTGTTCCAATCCTTAAGTAAGGACATGCAGTCATTCCAATTAACTAGGGATTTAAGCTTACGAACAGCATCAGGAAAAATCAAGAGGAGAGAGAGCAACAAATTAACATAGCTATAAAGGGATAACAGCAGGTTCAACTAAAATGATAGTCTAATTCTGACAATTAATGGAACAGATTTGCTTCAGTTTAGAGAGAATCACTGTAGAAAGTGAGAAAATACATAGCCCTGCAGATAAGATAATGGAAATTACAAATTCTCCAGTTTTTTATAATGGAGTAAGGATCGGGGGGGGGGAAGAAAAAGTAATCAATTCCTTCAAAGTTTAGTATAAAGAAACATGTTGTTTTCCATCTTCACCTTCAACTGGAACGGCAGTGATGTTGGAGGACACAACTAAATAGGCAAGGTCCTTTGCTCATGAATATGACATTACCAAACTAGTAGACTGTTCTGAAAATATCATGATACCACACACAAAAGTAGAATGATTTTAAGTTAAAATTAGGGAACAGCAGAATATGAAAAACAAAGTATTGGTACTGAAACAATTGACAAATTCTTTATGATAAATTAATATAGAACTCAAGAGCTGACTGAATACCAAACAACCAACAGTTACTGCGTAGATATTTAAGAGTGGGAGAGAGGGTAATGGTGATGCTGTATCACTCCTAGCGTTGAAAGATGTACTAGAATGAAGAGAAGAAAGTAAGAAAAACATATGGCCATTTTTCTTCATTGAAAACTAATTTAAAAATACTAATATGACTAAGAGACTGAAAATTAAATCATGCTTATTTTAAGCAATCATTAAAACCTTCCACAAAACATTTTAGTATAAATATGTAATTCTAAAATTACCCCCAATGTCAAAGACACTGAAATACAGAAACTAAACACCTCTATAAAATCCAAAGTTCCAAGTTTATGTTCATATTTTTTAATAAGCAGGAGGAGGAGCTTGGAAAAAGGTTATTAAGAATAGCTATGTAGATGAAATGTCAAATATTCTGAACATATCTCACAGATCAATTGTATTTGCTTCACTGTGTTTGAAGATCTATTTTCAGCTAACAAAGACTAGGAGTTTTTTGGTGTTTTTTTCCATAAAACTGACATGCCAACACTTAAACTGACATTCAGTTGCCAAGAAGTCAAGTTTATGATTTCTCTATGAATCCTGAATTTAACCCTGAGAATAATTTTCAGAACAGCTTTAAGATTTCCAGTATTTCCCAGCCACACCCACTCCCAAAACTTCAGCACATGAAAAATCCACTATGGTCTGAAGGTAACATTTACAAACGCAACAGAACTTCTATCAGTTCAATTCCTATTAGTTTAGAATTCATGCGTTTAAGGAATTGCTTTCCCCACCCTAATTTCTATGAAACTCGACCATTCGTGTGTTCATGCCATCACTATGCTTTAATTCACAATTCTGCGTTTTTCTTCTCCCATTTAAAAACTCTTTTCCATTTTCATCTTTACACAAATTTCTAATCTGCTGTGATTATAGTAGAGGAACAAACTGAAATGATAACCTTACAAATTCAAGACACAAACAACTGGCAGTAAAATTAAAACAAACAAAACAAAAAACTCAAAACAAATGAAGAATTTTTTAAAAGATAATGTGAACAGTGAAAGGAGGGACACACGTTCAATAGCCGTTCTATTAATCTTAAAGCTGTAAAAGCAAATTTAAAAAAACAGATACACAATCTCTACTCTGCCAACCAAGTATCTCTCTCCTGTGTCATGAAGCTCCCATAATGCTTCCCCTGATTTCTGTTTTGACACAGCCACAGCTGCAATACAAAATAAATTACTTCCAGTAGTAGGGTCAAACAAATGCTTGAAGTAAGATGTTCTGAAAAATCTGGATTTTTGGCATTAGAGATATTTTTAGATCTGGTGTTAGTTTCTGACATGCTTTCAGCAGTATTTCACAGTACAGAGTGGTACTATACATGTTGTATGTTCAAAAATAGATCTTGGAGAGCATCCAAGTTTCTTATTAGTAAACCTTATTGCACTTACACTGGTTCTACTTAACACTTCGTTAAAAACATTTATCAGAACCATCTGTCCTTATCTATCACAATTACTGAAGTTTATATAATTAATGAACATACAATAAATCAGAATCCTGTGTAATTTTAAATGTTTACAGATCTAGACATGGCACTTGTTGCTGCTCTAGATCAGCTACAGCCTGTGACACTTTAGGGTGAAGTCAACAAGAAGTGTTAAGTGCTTTTAAAAAAACCAAACCACAACACAACCTATAGTACTTCTAGATATATTTTTCAACAGAAAAAGGAAAGGAAGATTATGAAGTATTATTTTTTACACTTACCATCAGCACATTTGAACTATGTTTTCAAGTTCATATACTAACAAATATGAGAGCTTACCTTTTTTGTTCTTAAGTTTACCTGGGAAATTTTGGTTAGGGAATCTATTCACTGATATTTCAGCAATACTTATCATTTAACTAACACTACTATGGTCCAACTTGTCCCAAAATTGAGTTACATAAAAATAAAACAAAAGACAAATGGAAAAAGCTCCTAACAACTGACACTATAATACTGATTTCTTTCTCTATAATACTGGGAAGACATTTCAGTATATGAGACAATTAAGAAATTGAGCAGAAACCTGACTATGAGTTCACAGGGAACTCAGCAGCTTCTCTCTTCACATTTTTACTTAATAAAAAGCCTAAGTAATTGAAATATATTTTAATCTAGCTTTCTTCTATTTTAGCCACATAAATCATCACCTGAAATTCAATTTAAGGAAATTGTATATCATAGCAAATATGCTGAAATGTCAAACCTCTTACAGCTATAATATATTTTATGCTCTCATTCACCTCAAAATGCTCACCTAGAATAAAGAGGAAGCATTTATACAAAGAAACTTTAGTTATATTTTTACCTCATTTCATTACTTGTACAGTAGATCATGCCCTCTAGTGGAAAGATAAAAAAGCATTGTGCAAAAATAGTTTAACTGAAACAAATTCACAACATTGCTAACTTAAATTTGTCCTATGCTTCTTATGTCATGGACTTAATTTTCATAATCCAAAATGTTTCTCTACTGATCATGGCAGTTTTAAAAGAACAGCGTTGTTTTCTCTTGCTAAATATGTGGGCCAGTTTTCCTTTTCCTCACACATATTAGCTTTCTTATAAAAGGAAACACAGAAGCTCTTTATTCATTTGCTTACACCCATTTTTTCCTAACACATTTCTTCCTCCTTTTCCAAACATTTTATGACAACTGTTATTTAGTGTCCTATTTAAATCAAAGGAATAAAGTTGAGAGTAATTCAAAAGACATACGCTAGTATATCTTATAATTTTCTATATCTTTTTGAAGGATTTGATACCCACCATATGCAGTTCAAAATTATTTTAATAATTTTTAGATTACCTTAACAAAATCTCTATCGGTTTTCTCCTTCCATTCTTCTCCAAACACAGCAGAAAATGATCCTAAAGCTTTAAGCATAAAAAGCAGAATTTAGTAAAATAAAAAATTAACATTTTTGTTTGACTTTTTACTAATCCATAAACTAAATATTCGACAACATTACGGACACTTCTAGTGTTTCCTTTTCATAAAAAAAAAAAGTCCTGTACTAAACTGCATAATCCAACTGAAATTTCTATAGTCATTTAATTAACTGCTACTGCAGTTTTACAGTTCAAATTGAGAATAAGTAGTCCATAAAGAATGGACTAGTCTGTGAACCCTTTAAAAAAAACACATTGGAAACTTTTCCATAGCGCTTTTCCAGGAGTCAAGATGACTGCTCAATTTTCAACCTCACATCAACAACTGTTTTACATGTGCACAGTATAAGCTGTAAACACTACTTTAGTAATTAAACAAATTCCCACTAATGTTTTCTAAAAAACAGAATAGTAGCAGTGAGATTTTGACAGCACTCAACTGAAAGTCAGTAAGCCTAATGGATGTTCTTGGGTGCTTGGTGGAGCCACTACCACAAATTTTCCAGTCATCGCTCCTTGAAAGCGGCAATCTGACTCAAAGACTCATTCAATCAAAACATAAACTCTGTCTTACAATAGTTCCATAATGAACTAATGACACATTTAGTTACACTTAAATGTTTTGGTTCATAATGTTTTATTGTTTTGAACAAATGCTACAAATCTCAATTCTAAGACCACATCAGCGTTCAACTTGGAGAACCCAAACCAAGGCTTATGCAGCACTCCAAACTGAAGATACTATATATCCCCAACCCCCTGGGGCTGCCCTATCACATGCAATATAACTGTCATCTCAAACTTGGCGGGGGGAGCTGAAGATGTATTTTTCTTGTTACCTAGAAGCAATGCATTATAAATACTTATATATAT